AGCCCACCTTTCTAATTTCTTTCTCTAAAAACTGACTGCTCTGGATATCTGAGTGGAATCATACAGAACTGTGTGAATGGTTTATTTCACTCAGAATAATGCTCTCAAGGTCCATTCATGACACAGCACATGTCAGAATTTCCTTCCCTTAAATTACAGGCTGAGTTATATTCCATTGTATAGACACACACATTTGTTTATCCATCTCGCAATGATGGACATTTGGGTTGTTTCCACCTTCTGGCTATTGTGAATAATGCCATGAATGTGGGTGAAATATCTCTCCGAGACCTTTTCAATTCTTTTGAAAATAAATCCCAGAAGTAGAATTATTGGATCATACAAATTCTAGTTTTAGTTTTTTGAGGAACTGCCATACTGTTTTCCATAGTGGCTGTATAATTTTACATTTCAACCAAAAGTGCCAAGGGGTCCAATTTCTCCACATCCCAATGGGTGTGAGGATCTAAAAATATTTTAACTATTTTTCTTCTTTTTTTTTCTGAGACAAAGTCTTGTTCTGTTGCCTGCCTGGATTCAGTGGTGTCATAGCTCTCAGCAACCTCACACTTCTGGGCTCAAAGTGATCCTCCTGTCTCAGCCTCCTGAGTAGCTAGGACTACAGGCAAACATCAGACCACCCAGCTAATTTTCTATTTTTAGTAGAGATGGGGTCTTGCTCAGGCTGGTCTAGAACTCCTATGTTCAAGGGATTCCCCCCACCTCAGCCTCCCAGAATGCTGGGATTATAGGTATGAGCCACTGTGCCCAGCCTATTTTAACTATTAATGTGAACTTATTTGTACTTTGAGAACTTAAAAACTCCTAAGGTATTTACTGTATTTTAAACATCCTCTTTATGAACAGCCAAAGCCCAGTCTTCGAGTAAGGGGAAACTTGGGAGTGCAGGGGTGGGGAAGCGCCTTCATACTTGTAGAGATAAACACCTGTGGTTCAATAAAGCTTGCTCAACGTCTAAGCCAAATTTCAATGTATACAATAATGACCTTTGCAGTAAAATAGTAGCACACCCATACATCACGCACACTCACACACACATACACATACATACACACACACTCACACACCCATACATACACACACACTCTCTCACGTGAGACCAAGCTAAGGCGTTTACTTAGCTAAAACTATTAGATAAAATTTTTTTTTTTTTTTTTTTTTTTTTGAGACAGAGCCTCAAGCTGTCCCCCTGGGTAGAGTGCCGTGGCATTACAGCTCACAGCAACCTCCAACTCCTGGGCTCAAGCGAGTCTCTTGCCTCCGCCTCCCAAGTAGCTGGGACCACAGGCGCCCGCCACAACGCCCGGCTATTTTTTGGTTGCAGCCGTCATTGTTGTTTGGCGGGTCCGGGCTGGGGATTCGAACCCGCCACCTTAGGTGTACGTGGCTGGCGCCTTAGCCGGTTGAGCTATAGGCGCCGAGCCTAGATAAAATTTTTTGACAGAGCATAAAAGAACAAAAATTAAACTCTTTATTTTATTGCCACATTTCATTTTTAACTCAATGCTGAGAATTTAAAAGATGACCTTAATGTTATCCAGTCATTGAAGAGCCCACTTAAATGAATGCTATTTAGACATAAAAAGTGAGTAAAAACAAGGCAAAATACCTCAAAAAGTGTGAGTAAAGAATTTAAAATGGTAACATAGCATGTAGTGAGTGGAGGCAGCCCAGAAGTTGGGCCCTGATGTTCTCAGTAGAGAGCCCCACTCCATCTCACTTTCCCTGGACAGCGGTGGCCAGAAATCCCTCAGTGGTGATGAGAGGCCCCGGCTTCCTTGGGTTAAAATACTCACTGTCACAAACAAAGGATACTCAGGGCCCTCTGCTAGCCCCACTGTGCAGGTCTATTGTGAGCAGACAGAGCAAGAGCTCAGGACATAGGGATGCAGGACTCGGCTCTCACCTTCCATGTAAGCCTGGGTGTGACAGCAGCCTTGTAAGTTGGTCCCCACCAACCCCCTCCTGGCACTCTCACCCTGGGTAATCCTTTCCTCAAGGGAGGCTGGAACTAGTGACTTGTGTCTAGTAAAAAGAATGTAGGCGAGGTGACGGGATGTCCCTTTTGAGATGATGTCAGACTCTGAGTTCTGTCTTGATCTTGCTCTCTCTTTGGCTTTTCAGCTGCTATGTTGTGAACTGCCCTGAAGATAGTTCCATGTGACAACACAGGGTAATCTTTGGCCAACAGCCATAAGAAACTAAGACCCTTGGTGGGGAGTGGTGGCTCATGCTTAGAATCCCAGGACTCTGGGAGACTGAGGCAGGAGGAGCTCTTGAGGCCAGGAGAGTAAGCCTGAGCAAAAGCAAGACCTCATCTTTACTACAAATAGAAAAATTAGTTGGGTGTCCCAGCTACTTGGGAGGCTGAGGCAGGAGGATTGCTTGAGCCCAGGAGTTTGAGGTTGCTGTGAACTGTAATGCTACAGCACTCTAGCCAGGGTGACAGAGTGAGACTATCTCAAAAAAAAAAAAAAAAGAAAAGAAACTACGATCCTTAGCTCAACAGCCTATGAAGAACTGACTCCTGCCAATGAGTCAGAATAAGAGGACTGAGAAGCAGGTCTTCTCTCAGCAGAGCCCAGAGAGCACCTTGACCACAGCCTTGTGAGACCCTGCTTCCAGGACCAAGTGCAGCCACCCCCAGATTCCTGACCCAGAGATTGACATAATAGATACGTGTTATTCTAAGCAGCTATGTCTGGGGTAATTTTTTATGCCATATTAGAAAATTAATACATCTCAGTAAATGTCTGAAACAGCATTTACAAATTATTTATATAGGGCCAACTAAACTGAGGAAGGTGATCTCAACTTCAGGATAGAAAGCCGAAACTTCAGCTAGGCGCCTATAGGTCAAGTGGCTAAGGTGCCAGCCACGTACACCAGAGCTGGCAGGTTCAAATCCAGTCCCCAGGCCTGTCAAAACAACAATGACAACTACAACCAGAAAACAGCCAGGTGTTGTGGTGGGCGCCTATAGTCCCAGATACTTGGGAGGCTGAGGCAAGAGTCAGCCTAGGACCTGGAGGTTGCTGAAAGCTGTGATGCCACTTTGTCTCAAGAAAAAAAAAAAAAGAAAGCCAAACTTTGGCTCTGCGCATGTGTGATTACAGGGCCAGCCACAGGCACCAAGGCTGGTAGGTTTGAATCTAGCCTGGGGCTACACAACAATGGCAACTGCAACAACAAAAAAAATCGGGCATTGTGGTAGGCGCCTATAGTCCCAGCTACTTGGGAGGCTGAGGCAAGAGAATTGCTTAAGCCCAAGAGTTGGAGTTTGCTGTGAGCTGTGAC